ATATTGCCACGCGATGCCAGAGACCAAAGCAACACTATCAGGCGTGTTAAACTAAATTAGAAACACCTCTGCGCAAAAAAATGTAAACCGAGCAGGTCAGACGTCCTCACGAGGGAGAGGACGAAACGTAAAAGTAAAGCTTTCGCGAAATATGAAAAACACACTTGCGACTCCCAGGAGAGACCCGAGTCTGCCCGAAGGAACAAGCGTCCTCGTTTAAAGGACTTGCACGAGAAGAAACCATTTACAAGACGAAGTCCAGAACAACAAGCATCTACCTTGTAGCCAAAACGTGGAAGATCGTAAAAACACCGACGTACAGATGAGCACAAACCCGACCAAGTGGAATACGAGATTAGGAGTGTGTACTTAACTCCATAATGAAATATTATCAATAATTACAAACCAAACTCCAACTAACGCGATTGGTAAAACCAAGTTGAGGAGTGATGACAATAGAAAAAAACAATACACAAAGTCGTGAGTGCACCCAGACAGCGACCCCAGCAAAAAGTCTTTGAGGGCTAAACCGCAGTTTGTTAAGAAACCGTCACAGCATCCATCCTCACTCGAGTGCTGCCCCACCTGGGACGCAACCAGCTAACAGGTCTCGACATCAGTACGCCGAGCAAAAAATATACACACTCGTCTGTGTAATCGAGAACAACAAGCTATCTTTGGCCAAAATTTGTATTATTTTATTCGTTCTATTTGCGAATGCAAAACAAACAGTCACCAGATATCCATCTATTGACAGACGCTAGGGCTGAGAATTATGGGTAGCGCATGACAACATCCGGACGGCCACTTGCCTTGCATCCAACTACATAACCCAATTATATGTAGCGAGACCGCGTGTAAACATGAATATGCTGATAGCATTCTCTTGCCACTCATCCGTAGGACCAGGCTAAAAAACACGGACCAAGCGAACGCTGACCCGACGAGCCTCCACTGGCAAGACAATCCTTAAAGAACAATGGCGAGGACCCTCTTTTTAAAGGGTGAGATTCGTGTGCGCCCTATAAAAGTGAAAGTACTATCTAACCAGCAGGTATTTCAGCGAAAGAGCAATTTCTCCTACCAAACAGATACTTCGCGTATCACAGAATCGTTGTATTCTTCTTCCGTCAATTTCTTATCACAATTATTTCTTTAGTGTTGTGTATTCGTCTTTGTTAACTGGTAACTATTTTACAACAAGGACAGCCGCGTTTATGTCAATAATAACATCCCACTCAAGTCAGCATCAATGTGCACGAGCGACATACCCTATTGACCCAGTGCGTCTAAAATGCCTGTCCAAGTGACGAAGATGAAGCATCCCAGGCAGGATAGCAAACATGCAGCTGTAAAAAGGCAGCGCCATCAGAATGACAACCGGCCTTTATTAAATCTACAAAAATGTAAGCCCGGAGATACCTTAATAGATACCGCGGCCCGTAGGGCAACACCGCGCGCCAGTAACACTATCCAGTAACTCTTGCACACCAAAATGACCCGTGGAGTTGTCATAGGTACACCTTCAGGAGAATTGTAAGGTTCTTCCCGTGCTCGTCCTACAAAAAAGTGGCCCGTACTGCGCCGTGTTAACTGGAATAATAACACTAATATTTGGTCTTTTCAACATTTGGGCCTCTCAATACAGAATGGGAGTCCGTCATTCGCAATAGCACAAGCACACCCCATCATCCCGAATAGCGAACTAAACAATCACTCACAGCCTGCTCACGCCAGCTCCCCCGTGACCTGCGCCGCTCGAGCTAGCGAGCACGCCACTCACATACTGCGACACAGTCACAGTCACATCCTACTTCCAAGTCTAGCCGTATGGTCTCAGCTTCCTATCCATGTACTCGCAATCATAGGCAGTAGCAAGTGACGCACGCGAACTCGTCTAGCCTGCCCCAGAGTGAGCGTAACTGCATATCAAAGACTGTAGGCCAAACTAAAGTGCGACCACCCAGGTCGACCGATGTAGCTTAATTGACAAACATAAAATGTTAACCGACGATATTCCAAAGAGAAGACTTGAAGTGGGGAATGGAGAACCAGCCGTCAAGGAGCTGCTCGTATCGTAGGATTAATTTATGTGTTCCTGCGTGTGATGTACGATTAGTGAGCGGAACGACCGATGAAAACGAACGGACACTACTTCACGGTCAACTGCGGGAACGCAATACATAAAGTAATGTTAAATAGATTTTTCTAAAAAAGCCACCGAGCAATATGGCGCGCCGAAGAAGAAATAGAAATTGAGGAGAGGCAGGTGCCCGACAAAAGAAGACTCCAGAAACGGATTACCCACGATGCACCAAAGCCCAAAGAGGTTAAATATTTCATATTGCCAGCATGGTGCCTGTCAGCTTTTCAGTAGTGCACACAGCTTTATTTCATTAAAACTTATTTTTATGATATAAGTACTCTCATAATTCTCATTTTAATCCCCCAAATTGTGCAGATTGAAAATTAATTCTATGACTTTATTACTCTATAATGTCTATAGCGTTCTTAGTTATCAGTCCAGCTTTATCTTCCCCATCTTCGTTTGATTCATAGCAAATGTTGACACATTCCTTCTTGAGTTTCTTCCACCTATTCCTTCTAACTCTTGGTCTATCCCCCCCTTCTTTTTCCTTCTTTCTCCACCCATATTCATTCCCTACCCTCATTCACATGAATTATGCATTGATCCCACGTCGTTCATTAGCTCATTGATTCTCCCTCCCCTCAGCGATTCCCTCCCTGGCGCCGCTTTCTCCTCCCCTTTCTCACAACTTCGGGGCTCTTTACCTCCCCTGGGGCCTTTTGCCTCCCTGGGCCTTTTCCTCCCTGGCGGTGTTCCTCGACATAGGACCTCTCCACCCACTGCAGCGCCTCCCTGCGGGGCGCCCTCTCTCCCCCCTTATTTGTGTTTTTTTTTAAGAAGAAGATACTAGTTACTTCAAGACTATAAAAATAGTGACGAATTTACCCCACAATCAAAATTCTTCACATTACAGAATTCAGTTTGTAGCTCCCGTTTATTATTTCTTATTTATTCCATTATATTATTTTCTTTATTATCTCCAAGAACTATTATCTGACACTCCGGTTTCAATACTTTCTTTTCCAGAGAAACACTGTGAAGCAGTTGCCCAAGAGTCAGATTCTGTTCTATTCTTTTTATTTCTTCTGTAAGTTACGTAATACAAAATACTCTGCCAAGATCCATATCCTTACCCACATATGGTTAGTCATCAATCATGAACTAGGTGGATGTGTCAACATCATAACAATCTGAGTCATATTTGTTAAATTTAATAGGCATTGTATCCTAAATGGCATTCTTCCTCTGAAACCTTGAAGTCGTTCGTGTGCAATAAGTTCCAGGTTTTTGACAGATTTACATCGAGAAGAAAAAAAATCCCGAATCTCGGAGCTGGTGCGGTGTAAATTTTGTTAGGGCGATGCGAACATTTCGGAATTCACGATCCGAAATTCGCCACAAAAGACCTTGTTGGCGGGTTCTAGTAACGACGAAGTGGATAAATCCTGTTGCTAAATTAAGGGGGGGGGGAGCTTCTAACTAGTGGTGAAGCCAGAATATATGTTTTGTTGGTTTTTGCTCCTGAAAAATCGGTTCCACCGATTTTCGTCAAAATTGATATTCCTCTATCAATTTGAATCAACTCGTGGCTTTGTGAGTTTCATACGGATATTTTGAGGGTACTTCACATGAAGCCTCAAAAACATTTTCGACGTTTTTTTCAAACACGGCTCCAAAGTTTTTGATTAAAGTTAGTTGTTGAATAGTGCGAAGAATAGTTGTTTAAGAGAATAGTTTATATCTTATTTTCGTTCACTTCCCCGACCTTTCGAAAATTGCAAAAAAATATTTTAAAACTACAAAATTGAAAAGAGGTCATATAAAAGTTGTTGCGAAAATGATTAGTTTTTGCCAAATTCACGCTTGAAATTATCAATTTTTTTTCTCAACAACCACTCCAAATTTTTTGTTTCAATTTTCATCACTTTTGTAATACAGCACGATAAAAAATACGATACTAGTCGCATTTTCGGGCATTGCTTGGTTTTTCGAAAATTGCAAAAAATAGTTTTTAAAACTACAACATTGTGGATAGAGATTTTTGCTTTAGACCAAGTCTGGTGGACAAAATTAGCTCTTCAAAAAAGGTAATTTACATTTTTTGAAGAAAAAAGAGTAATTTTTGCGTAATTAACGCTTGAAATTTACGAAAAAAAAATCTCAAAACACGTTCAAATTTTTTCCTTAAATTTTCTCCGTATGTAATAAGGGACAGTTAATAGTGCTAGTTTCATTTTTGTCTAAAGCACCATTTTTCAAAAACGCCACTGTAAACAGTCTGGTAAAAAATCTGGTCTTTCCAAAAGGTCATGGACTTTTTTTTTAATGAACTGATTTCGCTTAATTAGTGCCCAAAAGTTACACTATTTCTAAAAATATTTTCTGAAAACCCGCACGAAATATTTCATTCAAGTTCTCCTCTTATTTAAGAGCATATGAAAAAATACATAAATAAATAAATAAACTAGTGGTGCAGAGAATGGCAGAGATGTTCTTGCTGTAGTTAGTTTTCTAAACTCTGTAGTCTGAACAAGGTTTTTGGTTGTGCCTCATTGTTTTCTCAGATACCTTCTTTGGTCGACTAAAGGACATTTTTTCATCAATCACATTCAGTATAATGCAATAGTTAATATTTGTACTGCATAATTTTAAAAAGACTAAATATACCTCTGTAAAGTAATGTAACTTGGCTTCTGGGTCAGTGACATTCATCTCGTTTTATTAACTGAATAAAGTTTGTCGGTCCACAAGGCAGTAGTGCCATAGCAATCTCAGACCAAAGGGTCGCGGGTTCGAGTCCTGCCTCGGGTATGGTTGTATTTGTGTTCGTACTTTCACCTTTTATGTGTATTTTGGGTTAGGAAACTAACATTTAACAGTGTGTTTCTACTTTTTTTGTTTGTTTTTTCAGAGTGCTCAAAATAGACTTATGATAAAAAATGGAAGAGTGGTGAATGATGACAGCATTGTTGATGGTGATGTTTACATTGAAGATGGTCTCATTAAGTAGGTAACATTTTGAAGATGATGTATTGAAGCATTAAATTCTGCTGATTTTCCTTATTTTTTGTTTTCTTCTTTCTAGGCAGCTGGGTCGTAATTTAATTATCCCTGGTGGAACTCGAATAATAGATGCAAGGGGAAAACTTGTGATACCAGGTATTACAAAAGCTGTACTGCAATGTTAAAATTGAAAGTTATTCATTTCATTTCATTTACCCATCATTTAATATCATTGTAATATCTTTACCTGAAGTTCTATAAGTGAAAATGTGAAGTTTAAGAAAAAGAAAGAAGTTAAAAGAATACAAAATGCCAATTTATTTTTTCTATGCTTTACTAGTGAGTGAACTAAAGTAGATTTACTGCATTTTTAATTTTGATATTATTAGTAAAAAATAATGCTGAAAGCAATGTTTTAATTTTGTCTACATAATTTGGTATCAAATTTATATTGAATCTGTGATTTTGAAGGGGCATCTTTGACATAATTGTGAGATAAAATGTATTCTTTCAGGTGGAATTGATCCTCATACACATTTAAGTTTTGAATTTATGGGTGCTAAATCTCCTGATGACTTTTACCAAGGAACTAAAGCAGCATTAGCTGGAGGAACCACCATGTTGAGTAAGTATATGATTTGCGTCTTTAGAATTGACTTGTAAAACTAACAATAATAGAATGCTTCAATTTTAACTATAACTTCCATTTGCTTCTAGTTGATTTTGCACTTCCAAAGAAAGGAGAATCTCTTATTGAAGCTTATGAACACTGGAGGCAATTAGCTGATGACAGAGTGTGCTGTGATTACGGTTTACATGTTGGGGTCACTTGGTGGTCAGAAAAGGTAAAAATCCTGAGCATGTCTACCAACAAGTATCATATAAATAAAATATAATTATCAGATTTTATCCTAAAGAAGGTTTTGGGATACTGAATTTTATTATTCAGGATTGAGAAAATGGCTTTTTCTGTGCATGTAATCCAACCTATGCTTTGCAGTTTCACCTTAGGTCATTGCATGATTGGTGTTTTGTGGCTTCTTTGGTAGAAAGAAGGGTGTGCAGAGAATGATTGCAGGAAAGTTGAATGTGTAAGGTGCATTATCAAAAATTTTGGTTAGGACTTCATATTTAGATGAATTACCTTAATTCATAGCTTAAGAAATCAGTGAATGTTAAGTTAATAAAAAACAGAAACAAACACAATTGCTGAGTACGTTTTTTATTTTTTTTATTTTCAGAAAATTCAAAACTGATCTCTCATAGGAAATTATCTTTGATTAAAGTTTCATACTCTCCCCTTATATAAATATTTCTTCTATCATGATATTTTCGTATTACATTTTTAGAAGGTAAAAACAGTTTTTAAAGTTTTATTTTAGTATTTCATTTTTAATGTGCTTTTATGATGTCTTCACCTGTGCATTGCAATGCAGTACCTTAAGGAATTAAAAAAATGCAGTAACAATTTCATGTGCTACAATTTAAGAGCTCAGTTAAAGCAGGGTTCTTTGGAGATCTTATTCTAGATACAGCAGGAACTTTCATAAAAAGAAATTAATTGAATTATTGTAATTGAGTTTTCATTTTGGTTGTACACAAAATTAGATCAAATTGGAAATAATTACTACCTCTAACATATAATGTTAATGGTACTCCAGAGGATTTTTTAAGAAACAATATTGTTTTTTTCTCATACTACTATATTATAAAATATATGCTTCATAAAAAAATGATCTTAATGTTTACTAAACAGAATTTTACGCATGTTACTTAATATAAAAATAAATGACATCTACTACTTGTAAAACTTTGTCTCTGTTAGATGTGCTTTGAAAATTGCAATTAGGCGTCTCAGATCTTTTGTACCATACAAAAATGTATTTGCAAGTTATATGATATCATTAATTCTTATTTGTCAATATAAAACCTTCTTAAATGAACTTTGGCTATTTTTTACTTTTATAGGTGAAAGAAGAAATGGCGGTATTGTGCAAGGAACACGGTATAAATTCATTCAAGATGTTTATGGCTTATAAAGATGTTTTCATGGTAAACGACACTGAGCTGTACCAGATTTTTGACAGGTGTAAAGAAATTGGTGCTATTGCTCAAGTACATGCTGAAAATGGTTCTGTTATTGCTGAGGTTAATATTTCTTTTGTAACCTATATTTCTTTTTAAATATTTAGTTCTTTACCATTTAGATTTATAAAGTATACAAGTCATTATTATTTCCTTGTGTACTTAGTATAATGTTATGTAATGCTGCAGGTAAAACAGGTAATATTTTTACTGAAAAATACATTTTATGGGTCTATGATAGAAAAAAAGTGTGTTTCTGTTGCTCACTAGTAGTGATGGTACTACCTTTTTGTGATCAAAATGCTCGTATTAAGTGTTGTCGATAAAGAAAACTTTGTGAGGGGGGGGTAATATCTGTCCATCCCTCTCTGTCTGTCTGTGTTTATGAACAACAGTAACACCTAAACTGTTATCAAGATTTTCACCAAAATGAATATTCACCATCAATCTGGCTGGTGACCCTTAATTTCGAAACTGATCCAAGGGGAACTTTACTTGGAGCCATTAGGTCATCTTTGAAATTTTCTCAAAAATGTATCCCAATTTTTTGTTCAAATTGAGCAATGAATGCTGCTAAAAGTGATGCAGATTCAATTTTCAGTAAAACCTCTCAAATAGAAAAAAATATTAAAGTTCAGCTTTTTTGCTATGTGTTGGGAGTGTTGATATACCTAATCAGTGTCGGTGGTGTAATGAATTTTAAATAGCAACTTGAGGAAATATTTTACTCTTGCTGATGGCCTGCAAATATTTGGGGCTGGGTTTCCATTGTAGTAACTTCAGCAGTTGTACAGTGTTGGAAGATAATGTTCCTAGTGTGTCTGAATCATAAATCTACCCTTGTTCTTAAAAGTGAAAGCCTAGACTGTCAGAGCCATGCCCAATCATTGTAGACCCATAATAGTTATTAATGTCATTAGATTGGAAAAATAACAGGCTTAGCTGAAGTTTGCAAGCCGAGGTGATAGCAGAGGTTTACGATCAATTGGGTTTGTTATTTTGAGTTCATGTCAACCACTACCTGTGCAAGTGGCACATGAGGCTCATGATACCTATTCACTATTTTAATGTAAATATTCCTATCTCAGGCTTGTGTTTCATTATAATATCTTGTCTAAAAGTTTTAAAAAATTGTTCTGTAATTGTTCAGGTGATATTCATATTATTAATTTTCAGAATGCTAAGAAGCTTTTGGCATCTGGAGTGAAAGGTCCAGAGGGCCATGAACGATCACGACCTGAGGATGTTGAAGCAGAAGCTGTGAATCGTGCCTGTGTCATTGCTAATCAGGCAAGTCCATTTTTTTCTTCTGATGGTACTCAATTTAATAAGGAAACTTCAACATTTTGTACTAACAAAATTATGAAATTTCATGAGCTAGGAATTGAAGAGAAAATCAAATCTGAATCAAATGTCATTCATGACATAAGACTCCTATTTAAAGTAGTATTATTAGTATTAATATTATTAGAATTTTTAAGGTTCTGTATGTTTTGCATTTAAATTGTTGGCATTGCACTTACAATGGCACAAATGACACACAAAATAGTATTAGATAGTAATATTTGAGGAACATTAGAATTTTAGCTCACACTATAGAACGAATACAATAAATTAAATTAAAAAAATTATTTATGTATTCTTATAGTAAATATGGGATTTTAATCACAGATACATGTAGTTTGTTCTTTATTCAATTTTTGTGAAAATGGTTTTACTTGTTGAAGGACAAAGTCGTATAAACACTGAATTGCTTACTGCAAAAAGTGAAAAAAAGTAAATCTAACCATTTTCCAACCTTGTTCATATTAGTATAATTGTTGTTTAAGTCAGTTTTAAGCAATTATGTGTATTATAATAATATTGTATGCTACTGAAAAAAAATTGAGGGGGTCAGGGAGAAGAAACAATTGTTGTAAAGGGGGTTGGAGCTAGAAAAAGAATGGGAACTCCTGTTTTAAACGAATTAAAAGTAAGAGTACCTGTGATTGTACCTGAACCATGTTTTACTAATAATGTTTCAAACCCACTGGTTGACCTTGATTGCATATAATGAGCCCCAAAGTAGGGCTAGATGCCCCACATCTGTCTGCCTGTCCTTCTATACTTCTGTGTAAGAGAACAAAAGGCTTCTTTGCCAAAATTTTTATTTATTTTATTCTTCTATTTGGAATGCAAACAAAACATCACCAATATCCATCTGTTGACAACTCTAGGGCTGAAATTATGTACAAAATTTCCTTCAAAATATAGTACTTCATTTGATTTGGCTCAACTGAACACCCTGCAAATTTGAATGGAATCTTTTTAAAGGGTAGTTTGTATAGAGTTCATACCATATTTTCAAAATTTCCTCAAAAGCTCCTTCAAATTTTTTTCTTCCGGTATCTTGTTTACATACAGGACCCTTCATACATACATACATACCCTTCTTATGCAACTTCAATTATATTAAAGCCTCTGAATTTATTAAAATTACAACCCAACCTATGGTAGGAGCAGAGTAAACTATCCATTTACAAATGATGGGTTGTCTAGACCTTCGTTAATTTGTTATAAAAATGTATATTTACTAATTTTTAAAACCTTTCAGTTTACAAATAAGACATCATGAGAAAAAAAACTGTGTGAAGTAATTCTTTAGAAGAGCTCAGTGTCTCAAATTGCTAATCAAGTGATGTTATTAGCGGTCTTGATATTCTAGTTAATATTCATTGATTGCCAGGCATGGTGCCTGTCACTTTTCAGGGCACAAGCTTTATTATTAAACATTATTTTATATTAAGTACTTTATTCTATTTTAATCCCCAAATTTGCAATTGAAAATTAATCTGTGATTTATACTCTATATGTCTTAAAGATTCTTAGTTCAGTCAGGTTTTCTTCCCATTTCTTTTGATTCATAGACAAATGTTGAAACGATTCCTTGAGTTCTTCCACCCTATTCCTTTCTTTTATCCCCCCCTCTTTTTCTTCTTTCTCACCATATTCATTCCCTCCCTCATCCATTGATTGATCCCTACCTCGTTCATAGATTGATTCTCCCTCCCTCAGCATTCCCTCCCTGGGCCTTTTCCTCCCTGGGCCTTTTCCTCCCTGGG